TCACTTAAAGCACAGCAATAAAAAGAAAGAAAGAAAGTGTGGTTTGAGGCACAAAGATAGATGCATAAAAACAATGGAACAGAATAGTATTACCGGAAATAGGCCCACACTTATATGGTAAATTGATTGTTGACAAATTGCCAAGGTAATACAATGGGGAAAAGAAAGTATTTTCAAGAAATGGTGTTGAAACAACTGAATATCTGAATAGCTGCTTCAGGATGTTGTGGAACATGGTAAGACCAGTGAATTACATGAGCATAGGCCCATTGCCACACCTCATTTGCTGTGAAGTGGGTCCCTTGATCTGAGACAATGCTGTGTGGGATACCATGACGGTGGATAAGGCATTCTGTAAGTCCAGGAATGGTAGCTTTGGCAGAAGCATTGTGTGCAGGGAAGGCAAATCTGTATCCAGAGTAAGTATCTATTGTAGTAAGAACAAAATGCTACCCTTCCCATGACGGAAGCAGTCTAATGTAATCAATCTACCACCGGGCTTCTGGCCAATCACCTCAAGGAATGGGGACTCAGTGTTGGTCTCTGCTGGTGGCAGATTGGCCACTCAGCAGTGGCTGTAGCCAAGTCAGCCTTGGTGAGTGGAAGCCCATGTTGCTGAGCCCATAGATAATCTACATCTTGCCACTATCGCCATTTTGCTCGTGAGCCCATTGAGTAATGACAGAAGTGGTTAGGGAAAGAGGATGACTGGTTTCCACAGAACATGTTGTCCTATCTACTTGACTGTTAAAATTCTCCTCTGCTGAGGTCATCTTTTGGTGAGTATTCACATGAGACACAAATATCTTCACTTCTTTATCCCATTTAGACAGATCTATCTTCCTTATAATTCTTGCCACCAATTTTCCAGTCATGTTCCTTTCAAGTCCCTGACCATCCAGCCAAACCATTGACCACAGCCTATGAATCAGTGTGCAATCACATATCTGGTCATTTCTCCTTCCAAGCAAAGTGAACAACCAGGTTCACTGCTCGAAGTTTTGCCCACTGGGAGGATTTCCCTTCACCGCTGTCCTTCAGGGAGATCTCAGAAAAAAGTGCCGCTACCCACTTTCTAGTGGTGCCTGCATATCACGCAGAACCATCTATAAAGCAGACATGAGTTTTCTCTTCTTTAGTCAACTGACCGTAAGGAATTCCCCTTGAGGGCATAGGTGCAGACTGAGAGATGGAAGGTAATGTGGCAGGAGTGGAGACCATGGTCATTTGGGCCACTTCCTCATACAACTTACTTGTGCCTTCAGGTCCTGCTCAGGTGCAATCTTGTATATACCACTTCCATTTAATGATGGAGTGCTGCTGTGCACGTCCAACTTTATGGCTCTGTGGGTCAGACAACACCCAGTTCATGGTGGGCAGCTCAGGCTGAATGGTGACTTCATGGCCCGCGGTTAAGCGTTCAGTCTCCTAAGGCAGAGTAAAAGGCCAAAAGCTGTTTCTCAAAAGGAGAGAAGTTATCTGCAGAGGATGGTAGGACCTTGCTCCAAAATCCTAAGGGTGTGCGCTGTGATTCACCAATAGGGCCTGCCAAAGACTCTAAACAGCATCTCAATCTGCCACTGACACTTCAAGCACCATTGGATCAGCCGGATCTTATGGCCTGAGCAGCAGAGCTGCTTGCACGGCAGCTGAATCTGTTGCAGAGCCTTTGCTTGTTCTGGGCCCCACTCAAAACCAGCCGTTTTTCAAGTCACTTTATAAATAGGCCAGAGTAGCACACCCAAACGAGAGACATGTTGCCTCCAAAATCCAAAGAGGCCCACTAGGCATTGTGCCTCCTTTTTAGTTGTAACGGGGCAAGATACAACAACTTATCTTTCACTTAGAAGGAATATCTCATCATGGAGGTGATTACGTCATTATACTACTGCCAAACTTTATCATAACTGCCAAACCACTGCGAATCATGGCCCAGACAAGTTGACATACAACCTTAATGATCACATAGTGGTTTCTACTTTATATGTTTGTTGTGAGGATTAAATAAGATAAGGCATGTAGCACACTTAGCACAGTGTCTGGCAAGTAGTAAATATCTGAATGCATTAGCTATTAGTATCATTACTTAGCAAATCCCTGGCATATGGTAGGTGCTCGTACATATTTGTTGAATGAGTGAGAGTCAGGAAGCATGTAAAGAGAGAAAAGAGATGTAGTTCAGTGAGGGAGTCCCTGGGTGTTATAAACAGTTATTGTGCTCTGCTGCTAACTGAAAGGTTGGAGGTTTGAGCCCATCCAGAGATACCTCAGAAGAAAGGCCTGGTGATCTGCTTCTGAAAAACTAGTCATTAAAAATCCTAAGGAATACAGTTCTTCTCTGACACACATAGGGTTGCCATGAGTCAAAGTTGACTTGACAGCAACTAGTAGTAGTAGTAATTCACAGACACGCTTTAAGACCTTAAGCTATTGGATTGTAGGAAAAAGCAATGGCTTATGGAGAAGGTCTTGAAATCAAGTCATTTTTATGGACACTGGCCACATTCTGGGCTTTCAGTTGAGCTTCCCAGATTTAACTGGCAATGGTAGAATCCTTAACTAGAACTATAGGCTTGTTCTAGTTTCTAGGTTCTTTTAACTTTATGTTAAGATCAACTTTTGATACACATTAGAGACTAAATCCAAGTTCCTCATGTGGCTTTTCCTTTGGTAAACCATGACTGAAGAGAGGCACTGATGTAAGGAGTTATTACAAGGGTATGTGTGGGAAAGACTGAAAGCTCCAGGTGTTTTTTCATTTGTTTGTTTGTTTTTTCAAAAAGCCCCATTATGCTATCTGTAATTTCTGGGCTACAGATTTTGTAGGTGGGAATTCAAAACGAATAGCCAGGTGGTGCAACACGCGAGTATAATTCATATTCCAGGGAGGTCAGAATTTGCACTATTGTTATATCAGAGTTGTGAAGTTAGGACTCACCTTTCCCTCTATTTATATGCACTAATTTGCATGGAGTTCATTTTATTTATCACAAATAAAATGCAACCCTTGAACTTATTTTGTCCATACCTGAGTTCAGAGTGGAAGGAGTGGACGTAACATAGGAAGAGATAACTGGTCCCTGAGAGAAAATACACTAAAAGGTACAAAGGAACCTGGCAAGATGATTCCAAACTAGGAGCAGGTTTAGAAGGCAGAAGAGCCTCCAAGTACAGTCTGGTGGCATACCCACAACCTGTCTACACGCAGCTGTTCTGGAGGCATGTATTTGCCATGGGAGAAAAATGGCAGAGTGTATTACATAGAGAACAGGGGCATTCTCCTTCTCCTTTTGCAGGGGATCTTAAAACTGCGAAGTCAATGTGAAGGTGAGCTGGCAGAGATCAGCAACTCAGCAAAGGCAGGACACCATGGCATGATGTCAAAGGCCCAGAGTAGGGACACAGGCCAGGAGGAGCAGCATGGATCTACTATTTGCAGTTGTTGAGGCCAGCATCTACGACTTAGCTGGCAAAGATGGAGATGACATCAAAACTGAGCTTCCATAGTGGTGGAATCTAAGATTTGTGAAGGCTAGGATGGTCCTGCCAGTACATCTTCAGAAATGGTGTGCCAGTGGGTACCAGCCGTGGTTGAGTTTTTGAATGCATGCAACATACCCCGTAGAGATTCGTAGAAATATAGGTCAGAGGGAGAGATGATACTTTGCAAAGAACTGGAATTCCTATGTACCCAGGTGAGGGCCTAGCATCAGCAAGATTTAGAGATTAATGTTAACATGACCTCATGTGTTCCTAGGGCTTGTGAGGTTGAGAGACATTTGGGAACATTAGGATTTCAAAATGAGTATAAAACACCTGAAAACTGTTGACACATTTTTCACTTTTGTCATACTCAATTTCCCAGACACTGTGGAAAAGATTTTTTGAATAGCTACAGCTAGGAGAACATTAAGCCAGATATTTACACAAAGAAATATTAAGTAGGAATCAAACGAATGGACTACAGCAATATTCAACAATATAGAGGAATCTTAGAAATATAACATTAAATGAAAAGGAAGCCCTGAAACATTACATGCAATATAGTCTTATAATGTATAAAGTGGAAATAATTAATATAAAAAATATACATCTAAGGAAAACATTGCAGCCCTGGTGGCACTGTGGTTGAGAACTAGGGCTGCTAACCAAAATGAATTAATATGATATAAAGAGGAGAGCAAGGGAATAATGAACACGGGGTTCAGCATGATGTTTACATCAGGTGGAGTGAAGCAGAGGAATGGGATGGTGTCTTAGTTTCTTAATGAATCTATGACAGAAACACCACAAGTGGGTGGCCTTGATGTACAGTTATTCTTACAATTTAGGAGGCTAGAAGTCTGAATTCAGGGCACTAGCTCTAGAAGTCTCTCTGTTCTCACTCCAGAGGAAAATTCTTGTCTCTTTCAGCTTTTCTTCCTCAGTTGCTTGGTGATCTCCAGGTGACGTCCATCTTTCCTCATTTGTGCTTGCTTGGTTCTGTGTCTAATTTGCTCTCTTTATGTCCCAAAAGTGATTGACTTAAGACACACCCTACACCAATATGGCCCCATGAACATAATAAAGAAAACTGTTCCCAAATGAGATGACATCCACATGTATAAGGGTTAGGATTCCAAGACATATATATATATATATATACATTTTTTTTTTTTTTTGTGGGGGGAGAGTAGGCAGGGCACAATTCAACCCATAACAGATGGGAAAGGCCAAATGGTTAGATGTAGTAGGTTATTGTTTTGGGGTCAATGAGTCCTTCTAACATAATTAAAACTAGCTAACTAACTAGGACTGGGTCACTCATGACAATGGTGAGACTGTCATGAAGCAAAGATTATGATTAATGTAATTCTGTGCACCTTAGATCCCTGGAGTAAGGATACAGGGGTCACATATTAAACCAGACTATGTAATGAAATATTGAGGTAATTTTTCATCATAACTGAAGCTGATTTGGTTGGGAACGTCATCCTATATGCACAAAAATGCACCTCAGATACAGTCACCTGAAAACCATTTTTTATAATTCGCTTTGGTTGTTTCCAGTTTGGTAACAGGAACACAGCATATATATCAAAGCTTTAAAAATGCCACCATCAACCACACAAAAAGAAAACAAAATGTTTAGAGAAAATTGTATATGCAGGGAAAACATCAAGAACCTCCAATCACAATTATATCAAAGGCTATTATTTCACTCTTGTCATCCTTGCTAGACAGATTCTCTCTCCTCTATTCCACCGCACCAGAAGCTGAAGGCCCGCCTGCCTCGCCATGTGTCTCCACTGTGGAAAGAAAGAGGCACTTGTACAAATGCCGCCCACTCTTTCCAAGAGAACACATTGACTCAGGCTCAGAGGAGATAGGCAGGCTTTTTGCATAACCTTGGGCCTCCTGCATTCCAGCCTCCTGGGGGCAGAGTCTGAGAGGGAAAGAAGTTCCTGGTTGGAAAGAACAGGAAGAATGGCACAGGATGCTTCCCTAGGATCTCTACCATGCTCTCTGGGTGAGGGGCTAGTGGTCCAAGGCCGATGATGTGCATGGGACATTCTCATAGTATTCTGTAGCATCTTCATGGTCCCTGTCTCTACTGTCGGCCTGCCCTGGGGAGTCCTCTGGGCGTGCCTTCTTCAACTCTGAATAGATGACTGGGGGTTCCTGGGTAAAAACATAAACAGTAAGTACCAAAATACAGAAGAGGACCAGCAGAGGAGAAAGAAAGCCAGGAAACCATACCTACCTTATCCTCCTGATGCAGCCTTGATGAATTTGCTGTTGGATGGGAGGAAGAAAGAAAAGTATTAAACCATGGGCAACATACTCTTACTTATAACCTACACCCAATGCATTCCAAGCCAATCTTTCTTCTGTTAACTCATCTCTTGACTTTTCCTTTGTGGGTTTCTTCCAAGCCCTCACAGATAAATCCCCCTACAAAACACATATGCACACACTAACAAAGTCTTTCCTTCCCCCGCCCCCACCAAATGCCCAGGACAACTTTCCTAACAATTTCATTCTTGCTCCTCTGTTCATTACAACCCCAGCAGGGGCTCCCCCTCCCTCTCAGGGCCTCTATGACTGTTCTGATCATCTGGAAGAAGGGGGAAAAGATGACTCACTTCACCTTGCACAGGGAAATTGCAGGAGGCTGAAGAGAGGGTTGGTTCTCTAAAGCCACATAGAGAAAATTCTCAGGGAGACAAAGTTTTGTAACAGAGCCATTAAGAAAATTCAAAGTGTGTGTTTTCTATCCTCCCAAGGGATGCTTGTATCTCATCTATTTATTCAGCCAATTAACATTCATTGAACAATGGTCATCTATTAAAAATTAGATGATTTCTGCCCATCAACAGATGAATAGATAAACAAACTATGGTACATACACACAATGGAGTACTATGCAATAATAAAGAACAATGATGAATCTGTGAAGCATCTCATAACATGGATGAAACTGGAGAACATTATGCTGAGTGAAATAAGGCAATCACAAAAGGACAAATATTGTATGAGACCTCTATTGTAGAAATTCATGGAAAAGTTTACATACAAAAAGTAACAATCTTTGTTGGTTAAAGGGATGGGAGGGGTTGGGGGAAATACTAAATAGGCAATAGATAAGTGATATCTTTGATGAAAGGTGAGACCGTACACAACACTGGGGAAACCAGAAAACCTGTACAAGGAAAGGTCATGGAAGCCCCATAGACACATCCAAACTCCCTGAGGGACTGAATTGCTGGGCGGAGAGCTGTGGGGACCGTGGTCTCAGGGAACATCTAGCTCAATTGGCATAACACAGTTTATAAAGACAATGTTCTACATTCTACCTTGGTGAGTAGCGTCTGGGGTCTTAAAAGCCTGTGAGCAGCCATCTGAGATACTCCACTGCTCTCACCCCTGCGGGAGCAAGGGAGAATGAAGAGAACAGGATACAAGGAAAAGATTAGTCCAGAGGACTAATGGACCACAGCTACCAAGGCCTCCACCAGACTGAGTCCAGTACATTTAGATGGTGCCTGGCTACCACCACTGACTGCTGTGACCAGCGTCACAATAGAGGGTTCTGGACAGAGCTGGAGAAGGATGTAGAACAAAATTCTAAACACACACAAAAAAGGACAGATGTACTGGCCTGAAAGAGATTGGAGAAACCCCGAGAGTATGGCTCTCAGACACCCTTTTAGCTCAGTGGTGAAGTCGCTTCTGAGGTTCACCATTCAGTGGGGTATTGCACAGTCCCATAAAACAAAACGGGACTAAATGAAGCACAGCAGTCCAGGAACAAGGACTAGAAGACAGAAGGGTACAGGAAAGGTGGTGATAGGGAACCCAAGGTTGAGTGAGGACAGTGTTGACATGTAGTGGGGCTGTTAACCATTGTCACAGGCCAACATGTGCACTGTTTAATGAGAAACTGTTTTGTTCTGTAAACCTTCATCTAAAGTGAGAATAACAGCACAACTGGGAGAACGTAACCGATGTCACTGAATTGTGCATGTAGAAATTTTTGAAATGCTGTATCTTTGGCTATGTATATTTTCACCAAAAAAAAAAAGGTCAAGAAGGGAGAGGGTTGACTTGTCGTGGGGTTGTTAGCCAATGTCATAAAGCAATATGCGTACTGACTGTTTAATGAGAAACTATTTGTTCTGTAAACCTTCACCTAAAGTACAACAACAACAAAAAAATTAGATAATTTCGAAGAGGAGAGATAAGCACAGAAACAATGCAAGAAGCATTATGGATACCAAGCTGGAAATACATACTGAACTATGCTGATGCCGTAAAGGGTCATCAGTTTCCCCCGGGGCTGGGCATGGGGAGGGGTAGTGGAGTCACTGTAAGTTTCACAGTGGCACTTGAGATGAGTCTTGAAATGTGAGCAGGGGTCACCAGGTAAACTAGGGGCAAGGAGATTCCAGGATCATAAAACAGCTTGGTATGATCAGGAGAATGCCAAGAGTTCAGTATGCATAGAGTGAGGATACAAAGCAGAGCTTGGTGGGTTGGAGTGTAAAGGAAGGCAGGGCTTATGCTTTGAAAAGGAGAGTCAGTGAGGGTGTTCAATCTAGGAAATAATGTGATCAGTTGTGCATCTCTGAAGGATCATGCTGGAAACAGATTGTTGGAAAGTTGGAAGAGAGCAAGACTAAAATAAAGAGACCACTTAAGAAAATTACAATAGTCTACTTGTTAGATTATGAGAAGTTTAACTTAGTAAATAGTGTGTTAATTTATAAATAGTGAATTTATTCATTCAAAATGTATTTCAGGGGGTCTATAGTTTCCAGGGGCTCTGGTGGCACAGTGGTTAAGTGTTTGGCTGCTAACCAAAAAGGTCAGCAGTTCGAATCTACCAGCTGCTCCTTGGAAACTCTACAGGGCAGTTGTACTCTGTCCTACAGGGTTGCTATGAGTCAGAATAGACTCGACAGCAACAGGTTTGTTTTTTTTTGTTTTTTTGGTAGTTTTCCAAGCATTACTCTCAATGCTATGGATACATTAGTGAAAAAGTCACAGTGTCCATCCTCAAGGAGCTTATGAGGCAATTGTGGTGGTGTGGACTAGTAAGAGGGAATGGATATGATTGTTACTGGAAATACAGGAGAAGTTTACATGTTGGACTTGTATTTGAGATGACTCTTTAATCAAAGACCCCTTGCTGTACCTTATATCACACTGCCACCTTATTTCTACTTGTCCGGGAGATGCCTCACCTGAATTTCCTTTTGCTTGCTGGATGATCAAGATCTGGGAATACAACAGATTGCTATCTTCAGGATTTTCTGTGTGAGAAGAATCAAGATGTTATAGAGAATCGTGCTGGCAAGAAGGCAATGGGATGACATATATAAAGTCTTGAAGGAAAAAAATTGCCAGCCAAGAATTATATATCCAGCAAAATTGTCTCTCAAATATGATGGTGAAATTAGGACATTTCCAGAGAAACAGAAATTGAGGGAATCTGTAAAAACGAGACCAAACTTACAAGAAATATTAAACAGAGTTCTCTGGTTAGAGAATCAACAACATTGGACAACAATCCAAGATTCAGATACAGGGCAGATCAACCAGATACCAACCCAAATAGGGAATTCTCGAAAATAAAACAAAGCTAAATGACAGAAAACAGGGAACCAGACACGTTAATATGTAAACGATGATAACACCAAAACAAAAAAGAGGGATAATCTGTGTAGTTACAGAACTTCCTTATAGAGAGGAAGTCAAGGCAATATTAAGAAACAGAAGATTGGTTTAAACTTAGGAAAATAAAGGTAAATTTCAAGGTAACCACAAAGGAAGCTAACAAACCTACCACTGAAATAAAAAAGAAGTAAAACATAAAGGCACAGTAAACAAAAAATCAATAATAACAAAAGAAATGAAAAGAAAATCCACAAAAGAAAACTCAGCACAGAAAATTAAGTGGAACAAAGAAACCATCAACATCACAAAAAAAAGTACAACAAAATAATAGCAGTAAACTCTTACTTACCAGTAATTATGCTGAATGTAAATGGCTTAAATGCACCAGTAAAAAGACAGAGAGTGACACAATAGATAAAAAAAAAAAAAAATAGCCAGTCTATATGCTTTCTACAAGAGACATACCTTAGACACAAAGACATAAACAAACTCAAAGTTTGGAAAAAAATATACCAAGCAAACAATAACCAAAAAAGAGCAGGAGTGGCAATATTAATCTCTCGTAAAATAGACTTTAAGGCAAAATGCACCATAAAGGATAAGGAAGGACACTATATAATGATTAAAGGGTCAATACGCTGGAAGGATACAACCATAATAAATATATACACAGCCAATGACCAAAAAAAAAAAAGAAAAACCCAAACCCATTGCCATCAAGTTGATTCCAATTCATAGCAGCCCTAATAGGACAGAGTAGAACTGCCCTATAGGGTTTCCAAGGAGCTGCTTGTGGATTCAAACTGCTGACCACTTGGTTAGCAGCCGAGCTCTTAATCACTGCTCTACCAGGGCTCGCACCCAATGACAGGGCTCAAAAATACATAAAACAAAGTTTAACAGTGTAGAAAAGATAAATAGACAGTTCCACAATAATAGGAGACTTCAACTCACCACTTTCAGTGAAGGATAGAACATCTAGAAAGAAACTCAGTAAAGATACAGAAGATCTAAAGGCCACAGTTAATCAATTCAACCTCATAAACATATGCAGAACATTCCACCCAATAGCAGCAAAGTATACATTTTTCCAATGCACATGGAACATTCTTCAGAATAGACCACATTTTAGGCCACAAAGCAAGTCTCAACAAAATCCAAAACATTGAAATAATACAAAGCATTTTCTCTGATCACAATGTCATAAAAGTAGAAATCAATAACGGGAATATCACAGAAAAAGAAATCAAATACATGGAAACTGAACAACACCTTGCTTGGAAAACACTGAATAACAGAAGAAATCAAGGATGAAATTAAAAAAAAAATAATAATTTAATCAAATGAGAATGAAAACACAGCTTACCAAAACCTTTGAAACAGAGCAAAAGCAGTGCTTAAAGGTTAATTTATAGCAGTAAATGCATACATCAAAAAAGAAGGGCCAAAATCAAAACATTAACCCTAGAACTTGAACAAATAGAAAGAGAGTAGCAAAAGAAGCCCACAGTCGCCAGAAGGGAATAATAAAGCTTAAGCAGAAATAAATTAAATAGAGAACAGAAAAACAATAGAATCAACAAGACCAGAAGTTGGTTCTTTGAAAGGATCAACAAAATCGACAAACCACTGGTCGAACTGACAAAAGAAAAGCTGGAGATTAAGCAAATAACCCGAATAAAAAATGAGATGAGTGATATCACAACAGAATCAACTCAAATAAAAAGGATCATAACAGAATGCTACGAACAACAGTGCTCCAACAAATATAAAAACCTAGAAGAAATGGACAAATTTCTGGAAACACACTACCTACTTAAACTAACACAAACTGAAGTAGAAAAACTAAACAGACCATAACAAAAGAAGAGATTGAAGAGGTAATTTAAAAAACATACAAACAAAAACTTCCCAACAACAACAACAACAACAAAAAGCCCTGGCCCAGACAGCTTCACTGGAGAATTCTACCAAACATTCAGAGAAGAGCTCACACCAATACTACTCAAACTGCTTCAGAGCATAGAAAAGGAATATTCCTAAACGCATTCTATGAAGCCAGCATAACCCTGACAACAAAACCAGGCAAAGATACCACGAAGAAAAGAAATTACAGACCAATATCCCTCATGAATATATATGCAAAAATTCTCAACAACATTTTCGCCAATAGAATTCAACAGCATATCAAAAAAATAATGCATCATGACCAAGTGGTATTCATACCAGGTATGCAAAGATGATTCAACGTTAGAAAATCAATCAGCATAATCCACCATATAAATAAAAGGAAAGAATCATATGGTCATCTCAACTGACACAGAAAAAGCATTTGATAAAGTCCAGTACCCATTCCTGATAAAGACTCTCAACAAAATAGAAATAGAGGGGAAATTCCTCAATATAATCAAGGGCATTTATACAAAACCAACATCCAATGTTATTCTCAACAGAGAGAAACTGAAAGCATTCCCCTTTGACATGAATGCCCTTTATTGTCACTCTTATTCAATATCTAATCTTTAAACTAGAGGAATAAGGCAAGAAAAAGAAAGAAAGGGCATCCAAATTGATAAGGAAGAAGTAAAACTAACCCTATGATCCTATACATAGAAAGCCCCAAAGAATCTACAAGAAAGCTACTGGAACTAATAAAAGGTTTCAGCAAAGTACAGGATACAAGATTAACATACGAAATTCAGTTGGATTCCTATACATCAACAAAAAGAACTTTGAAAAGGAAATCAGGAAATCAATACCATTTACCATAGCCCCCCAAAAGATAAAATACTTAAGAATAAATCTAACCAGGGACATGAGACCTATACAAAGAAAATTACAAAACACCACTGCAAGAAACCAAAAAAGACCTACATAAATGGAAAAACTTACCATGCTTATGGATAGGAAGACTCAACATTGTGAAACTGTCAATATTACCCAAAGTTATCTATAGATATAATGCAATCCTGATCCAAATTCCCACATTCTTTAATGAGGTGTAGAAATTAATCACCTACTTCATATGGAAAGGGAAGAGGGGCAGATAAGCCAAGCACTATTGAAGAAGAACAACAACAAAGTAGGAAGCCTCACACTACCTGATCTGAGAACCTACTATACAGCCACAGTAGTCAAAACAGCCTGGTCCTGGTACAACAACAGATACATAGACCAGTGGAACAGAATTGGGAACCCAGACATAAATCCATCCACTTACAGGCAGCTGATATTTGGCAAACGGCCAAAGACCATTAAATGAGGAAAAGACAGTCTAACAAATGGTACTGGCATAACTGGAAGTCTGTCTGTAAAAAATATGAAACAGGACCCATACCTCACACCATACATAAAAACTAACTCAAAATGGATCAAAGACCTAAATATAAGACCTAAAACAATAAAGATCATGAAAGAAAAAATAAGGACAATGCTAGGGGCCCTAATATATGGCATAAACAGAATACAAGCCATAAATAACAATGCACAAACACGAGAAGATAAACTTGATAACTAGGAGCTCCTACAATTTAAACACTTATTCTTATCAAAACATTTCACCAAAAGAGTTAAAAGAGAACCTACAGACTGAGGAAAAATTTTTGGCTATGACATATCCAACAAGGATGTAATCTCTAAAACCTACAAAATACTTCAACACCTCAACAACAAAAAGACAAAAAATCCAATTAAAAAACCGACAAAGGATATGAACAGACACTTCACCAAAGAAGACATTCAGGCAGCTAACAGATACATGAAGAAATGCTCATGATCATTTGCTGTTAGAGCAATGCAAATCAAAAATACAATGAGATACCATAACACCCTGAGAATACTGGCACAAATCAAAAAACAAAAAAATAATAAATGTTAGAGAGGTTGCGGGGAAATTGGAACTTTTATACACTGGTGGGAATGGAAATGGTACAACCAATATGGAAAATGATATGGCACCTTCTTGAAAAGACAGACGTAGAAATACCATACAATCCAGCAATCCCACTCCTAGGAATATATCCTACAGAAATAAGAGCCATCACACGTATAGACATATGCACACTCACGTTCATTGCAGAATTATTCACAATAGCAAAAAGACAGAAACAACCTAAGTGTCCATCAACAGATGAATGGATAAATAAATTATAGTATATACACACAATGGAATACTACACAATGAAAAAGAACAATGATGAATCCGTGAAACATCTCCCAACATGGATAAATCCGAAGGGTATTATGCTGAGTGAAATAAATCAATCACAAGAGGACAAATATTGTATGAGACCACTATTATAAAAACTCAAGAAAAGATTTACACACAGAAAAAAAAAAAAATCTTTGATGGTTATGAGAGAGGGGAGGAATGGGGACAGTATATCACTACTAGATAGTAGACAAGTGTCAAGTTTAGTGAAATGAAAGACAACACACGACATAGGGGAAATCAGCACAACTTAACCAAGGCAAAGTCACAGAAGCTTCATAGACACATCCAAACACATCTAAACTGGGGCTGAGCATTGAGGATCATGGTCCCGGGAGACATCTAGGTCAATTGGCATAACATAGTTCATAAAGAAAATATTCTACATCTTTGGTGAGAAGCATCTGGGGTCCTAAAAGCTTGTGAGTGGCCACCTAAGATACATCTATTGGGCCCTTTCCCTCCGGAACAAAGGAAAATAAAGAAAATCAAGGACACAAGGAAATTATAAGCCCAAAGGAGTAAAGGATCATATGAATCACAGCCTCTACCAGCCTGAGCCCAGAAGACCTAAATGGTGCCTGGCTACCACCACCAACTGCTCTGACAGGAATCAAATAAAGGGTCCCAGAACAAAATTCAAATTCACAAAAAAAAAAAAAGTCCAGACTTAATGGTCGGACAGAGACTGGAGGAACTCCCAAGACTATAACCCATGGACATCCTGCTAACTCAGAACTGAAGCCACTCCCAAAGCCCACTTTTCAGCCAAAGATTAGCCAAACAATAACAAGTGAGGAACGCGCTTCTTAGTTCAATTATGTATACAAGACCAAATGGGCAACACATGCCATAAAGCAAAGACGAGAAAGCAGGAAGGGACAGGAAAACTGGACCAATGGACATGGGGAACCTGGGGTGGAAAGGAGGAGAGTGCTGACAAATTGCAGGGATTGCAACCAATATCACAAAACAATTTGTTTTTACATTTTTGAATGAGAAACTAATTTGCTCTGTAAATTTTCACCTAATGCACAATAAAATTAATATATACACACATATATACATGTGTGTTACAGTTGGCTGTAGTCAACAGGCTACAACCAAGATTCTTCTTCCCAGCCACCAAATTCATGACCAACTTCTATCCTCCAATATAATGCCAGGAATGTCATTTTTAAATTGAATGTGACTGGGTCATGGGCCATTGCTCAACCCCTCCTCCCTCCCTGACTCATGTCTTAAAACCCCTGCCATTTAGGGAGTTCTCACCATTTCTGTATACTAGCTCCAGCTCCTGGGGACCTGTTCCAGAGGGCCTGGACAAGGAAGACTCTGAAGACTCATTGGGTCTATAACTGTGAGAGAGGGGAGAGAGGCAAGGGAGAAAAGTATTTGCAGATGACATAGTCTCAGTGAAACCAGTATATAGGAAGGCACAGAGTCCAACACGGGTCATATAAAAATATTGTGGCTGCTTACACGGAAAGTCTGCATGGCTCTTACATGAAAATGTCGGAAGGGATGTGGCACAACATGGAGCTGAGGCAGTATTACAGGGCAGGCAGACTGAGGCACACTCCGAGGCAAAAGCCACACAGTGTGGTCTCTTTGACAGGGTAAAAACTCTTAGTTGACTATTTTTGAATTATTTTAAAAAAATGTAAATGCTTTAACATTGATACACAAACACTTTTCCTTTCCCACAGAACTTAACCTTTGTCTTTTTTACAAGGTTCCCTTCAATCTTCTACCACCTATTATAATAATCCACCTTCTCTGTAAGACACCATGCAGGCTCTTCAAGAAAAGTGTTGGTTTTTCTCTTTTCCATTCCCTTCTGCAGTTAATATTGTGACTCAAACATTTCTAAAAATGTACATAATTCTATGTTCCTTTATTGTGGATATAAATAAGTCATGAAAATATTGGCAGCACAAGAGGCAGAGACCTTACCCTGGTGTTCCAGTGACAATTCCTCCTGCAAAGTAATCAAAGAAATATTCACATTAAGTGAGCTCTGTCTCTGTCTCGTCTCTCTCTTTCTCAGTTCTTACATGAATAATATGCTCTATGTTAGAAAGTTCTTCTAGAGAGCGTTCTTCCTTGAAAGCAAATCCATTCTATATCTCAGTTATGAAAAATCTTAGTGAACATCCAACTCTATCTTGAAAGACATTTGCCCAGCATCAGGTTTACTGATTGCTGTTCAATCAGTAATAGCAACATGAACTCTACGTAGTTGTGACTGAGAAGCAGAAGTGAGACAACTTAAGAAATAACTCTGGTTGTACAACATGATGAGCATAACTTTACACTGAATTATACATGTAAAAAATGTTGAAGTGGCAAATGTTTTGTTATATATACTTTTACCATACACACACACACACACACACACACACAAAATCTAACCCCAGATCGAGGGCTTCCTTCACATCCACTCCTCTGTTCTGACTGCAGCCTTGTGAGGTAGATGCTATCCCACTGGTATAGACAAGGAGACTGAGGTCTAGAGAGGCTAAGAGAGGCTTAAAATCAACACAGAAATCTTACACAAATATGGATCAATTGGAATACCATAATAAGCTCAAATCTATCCTCTCTTTCTCTACTGTGATGCCTGAAAATCCATTCCAGAAACATTGAACTGCATGTCATGTGGGTAAATATTGTACTATTTTTCCACTTCTTCCTTTCCTTTTTTCTTTCCTGGCTAATTTCCTCTTATAATTCCTCCTCCAGAATTTTCCCTGATGCCAATAGGCAGGATTAAGTGACCTACCTCCGTACACATAAGACCTTGTAACATTAAAATTACTGTATTGTTTTGTAATTATCTATTTCATATTTGCCTCTAACCTTCTCCTTCATGAAAGAGTATGCTCCTTGAGGACGCAAACCTTGTCTTAATTATTTTTGTATCCCAGCGCCTGGCGTGTTGAAAATATCCAATAAATATTTGGTAAACAACAGAATAAATTATGTACTTTGAGCACTAAAAAACGACTAGTTGACAATTTTTTGATAGGTGATTGCATGAAAGCCTACTTCATCAGCCTTGGCAATACAGCAGTTTTCCACTGTTGCCAAAATATAGAAATCTTTCTGGCTTGCCCGCAGTGTAAGCCTCCTTCAAGTTTCCCATACCTGACTTCTGATATTTTAACTGTGGCTCAACATCTGTCTCACTAGGTTTAGAGAACACAAGTTACTGCCCAAAGTAAACACACTCAGACTTCCCTCCAGTGGAAAATGACTGAATGATGCCTGCAAATGCTGTCCTCAGGGACCAGGCCTCCTGAGGTAAACCTGAGGTATGTGAACGTGATCCCGGCCTGTACCTCTCTCTTCAGAGCTATTGGGATCCATCCACATCAATCAACAGCCAATGTTTCTCATTTGTGGGCAGGTTAGATAATTTCCAGGATGCATCTGGAGTTGGTCTATCTCTTCATGTGTAAAAGGCAAAACTGAGACCCATAGAGGTAGCTATTTATATAATAGCAATATTCACTGAAGACTTATGGGCCAGGCACTGTGCTCTGATTACCTCATAGTATCTAAAAGGTAGACACTATTATTATGATCAGTGTATATATGAAGAAACTGGGGCATGGGGAGTTTAATTTACTCATCTAATGTCAAGTGGTTAGCAACTTACATTACTGAATTCTTTTTTTTTAGCCTGTGTATTTAATAAGTGTTCAATAAATTAAAATGTCTGTAAAAAAAGTTACATTACTGAAATTTTAACCTAGGCAATTCAGCTATAGAGTCAATAAATTTATAGCTTGTTTTGGTAACTTGTAGGATACACTCAGGCTAAAGAGCAGAGCTCTTTATGTTTAGAATAATTTGGAACGGTTGTCCTCCTTCCAGAAAAGATTCATCAATAATGAGAAGGGAGATTTTGCTGTAAGGTGGGAGAGTGGGCAAGACTTTGAGAAGAGAAAGGCATAGATTCTCTGTTTGGTGGGCTGTCAGAATTCCTTAGTTAAGCTTGCCTAGTTTTTAATAAAATGTTTCCCACAGAAGGACATATTTGGAGGACTGAACCACCTGGGGTCAAATTCACACGAATTACATAAAATGATGGTCAGTGATGTTTCTTCCCTGATGTTGTTTGGTGTTGCCTTGACTAATTTGTCTGTTTTTTAAAACTTTATCAACTTCCAACACTGAGGGTCTAATGTCTCCACTTCTAGTATAAGTTATGAATTAGTAAATGACATTCCAGATGGACCATGATACAGAGAAGTAATTTTTAAAGTACAAGATGTAACCAAACTTCTACAAGTCACCAAGGTATAATGGAGAGAGTATGGACTCAAAAGTTAGAGACACCCCAGTTAAGATCTAACCCTGACTCTTTATAGCTGTGTAAATTTGGAGAAGTTACTGAACTTCCCCAAACCTCTGTTTCTTTATCTCTAATATGACATAATAATATTGGTTGAACCAAACTGAATTGAGCTTAATGAACAATTAAGAGAATTAAACTGTAAGATTGCATATAATAGACTCTAAATGAATGATAGATTTTATGATGAGTACCATTGGGGTTGGTGTTCTTATTCTCTTTATATATTTAAAAATCACACACAAAGACACACTTTTATATGTAATATTATCTAAGAAAACACTAAGTACTATTAAAAAAAAAAAACCCATTGCAATCAAGTTTATTCCAACTCATAGCGACCCTATAGGACAGAGTAGAACTGCCTCATAGAGTTTCCAAGGAGCGGCTGGTGGATTTGAACTGTCGACCTTTTGGTTAGCAGCCAAGCTCTTAATCACACTTTTCTTTCCAAGAAGGGGAAGGATGGAGGCTTGAAAAGAGGGATAAAAGGACAACGCTTGATCAGTATAATTAAAACAAATATGTAAGGTTTTTCATCAAACTGAAGTCCAAGTGTTTATTTTTTTGTTTGTCTGTTTGCTTGGTTTTCATTATGAGCCCTGAGAAAGGAAGGACAAAAGCATTTGGTATGATAGAAAAGGAGATGCCACATTACATCACAGGAGGGAGTAGACAGAAAGTAAAGGATTAGTAATTCCAAAGTATAAAGTCTTGACATCTTTCAATCACACAAAACACTGTTAAAAAAAGTCCATAGATTCAAACATTCCTGATCCATGAAAAAATAGAGAGAAACAAAAGTAGTTACAAAAGAACAAATATAGAGATGACAGCAGATTTCTTGTTGGAAACAATGTACATGAGAAGACATTGGAGCCACATCTTTGAAGTACCCAAATTAGGGGGAGGAGGAGCTGTCAACCTAGAGTACCAGTAAAAGTATCTTTCACAAATGAATGAAAAATGAAGACTTTTACATGCATAGAAAAGCTGAAAGAATTAATCATTAGCAGACCTGTGCTACAAGAAATGTTAAAAGAAGTTCTTTGGGGAGAGAAAATGATACTAGCTAAAAATATGGACATACAAAAAGGAATAAAGAACATTGGAAATGGTAACTGCATGGGTAAATACATAAGATTTTTTTATATTTAAATCACTTTAAAAGATAATTGATTGTTTACAAAATAATTAGAAGGTAGCTGGAAGGGGGGAAATGGAAGTACACCATGGTAAAATTCATATACTGTAGGTGAAGTGATATAATATTACTTGAATGTAGACTGTGATAAGTTAAAGATGTATACTATACAAGCCCTAAAGCAACCACCAAAATAATAAAACCAAGAGTTATATCTAATAATCCAACAAAGGAAGTAAAGTATAACTGTAAAAAAATACTCAATGGATCCAGAAAAAAATTTAAAAAAGAGGAAAAGGAGAACAAAGAACAATGGGATGAATATAAAACAGATTGCAAAATAATAGACTTAAACCTAATTATATCAATAATCTTATTAATATAGTCTAAACACTTTATTTAAAAGGCAGAAACTGTCATATTGTATAAAAAGTAAGAATTAACTATATCCTATCTATAAGAAATATACTTTAAATATAGGGCACACAATGTTTAAAAGTAAAAGGAGGGGAAAAATCATGCTAACATTAATTGCATTAATCCATTAATATCAGACAAATAATATTTCAGAGTAAAGAATATTACCAGGAATAAAGAATGTCTTTCATAGTGATGAAGTGGTCAATTTATCAAAAAGACATTACAATTATAAACATTTATGCACTTAATAACAGATATTCAAAATACATGAAGCAAAACCTGATAGAATTGCATAAAGAAGTGTACAAAGTCACAGTTACAGTTGATGATTTCAATACCCCTCTCTCAATAATTGATAGATCAAGTAGGCAAAAAATCAGTAAGGATATAGAAGACTTGACCAACACTATCAACCAAGGTCACCAGCAGACTTGTACTACAAGAAATGTTAAAAGAAGTGTTTCAGGCAGAAAGCAAACGATACCAGATAGAAATATGGATATACAAAAAATAATGAAGAACACCAGAAGTGGTAACTACATGGGTATTACCTTAACACCAAGCCAGAAGGAGGCATGACAAGAAAAGAAAGCTACCAACCAACATCCCTCATGAACATAGGTACAAAAATTGTTAACAAAATTTTAGCAAATTAAACCCAACAATCATGACCATCTGGAATTTACATCAGAAATGCATGGCTGGTTCAATACTCAAAATTCACCATGTCAATAGACTAAAAAAGAAGACCATATGATCATCTTTATCAATGTAGAAGAAAGCATTTGACAAACAGCCCTTCCTATAAAAAGTCACATCAAATTAGGAATACGACTTCTCCTCGCTTACTATTTCTTTACCCAACATTTTCCATTTATGACAATAGTAAAAAAATCTATTCAACTATTTTGCATATTAATGACATACATTTGGCAGTAATGAACACCGAGGTGTGAGGTGCAAGTAGCATTGGCTGTGATGGTTAAGGTTATGTGTCAGCTTGGTGGGGCCATGATTCTCAGTGTTTTGGAAGTTACATAACGATGTAATTTGGCAGTTATGTAATGATGTAATGTGATACTTATGAAATGATGTAATCATCCTCCATTTATTAGTTTATTATTATTGCATAATGCCAATTCCACATAATGTCCTGGTCTTTGGAACCTAACCATGTTGATAAGTGAGGAGAGGTTATAGTAGGGACTTCCTCAGCCTGATAAAGAGCATCTATGAAAAACCCACAGCTAACATCATTCTTAAGGGGGTATTGGTGGTTCAGTGGTAGAAATCTTGTCTTCCACGCAGGAGACCCAAGTTTGATTTCCTACCAATGCACATCATGCACAGCTACCATCTGTCAGTGGAGGCTTGCATGTTGCTACGATGCTGAACAAGTTTTAGTGGAGCTTCCAGACCAGCATGGACTAGGAAGAAAGGCATGGTGATCTACTTCTGAAAATCAGCCAGTAAAAACCCTATGAATCACAGCCATTTGATCTGCAACTGATCATGGGGATGGCACATGACCAGACAGCATTTTGTTGCATTGTGCATGAGGCCTCCATGAGTCAAGGGCTGACTCGATGGCAGCCAACAACTGCAGCAGCAGCAGCAGGATCCTCAATGATGAAAGACCGATTACTTTCCCCCAATGATCAGGAACAAGACAGGGATGTTTGCTGTCACCATTTCTATTCACATTGTTATAGGCGGTTCTAGCCAATACGATAAGGCAAGAAAAAGAAATAAAAGGACTACAGATTGGAAAAAAAGGAGTAAAATTGTCTTTATTCACAGATTACATGATTATCTATGTAGAAAAACTGATGCAATCTACAAAATAGCTACCAGAACTAGTAAGTGAAGTTTAGCAAGGTTGCAGGATACAAGAGCAACATACAAAAAAAAATTGTATTCTATATGCCAGCAACAAACAATCAGACACTGACATTTAAATTTTATTCTCAGTGTTCTCGATTTTATTCGAATTTCAGTATATTTGACTGACATTCTTCAGAGTTATGGTTTGCATCTACAGCTATTATCTTTTTTTTTTTAATGGAGGACTTCTCTCTATTTTTCATCCTTTTTGTTACTTTCAGTAGGCTTTGAGATGGAGATGGAACAATAAACATTTGCTTTTCTAACTTTTAAATGGAAACAAAACTCTACTGCTTGATTTATCTCACATTAAACACATGAGATTACATCTTCATTGAGAAGTTTGTTTTACCTTTTTGACGCTATTGCCTGCTGAGTGGCAGTCAGTAGAACTAACAGTCTACTACTTAGAAGGGAATAATTGAACTTTATAGGATGCACACACAACTCTAAATTATTATAACAATGGTAAAAGTCACAACGTCAGAGAGAAAGAGGTAGACACCCACCTGATTTCCTTTGGGTCCTAAAGTAGTACAGCAGAACAGCAGCAGCAGCAGCAAAGCCAAGGATGCTAAGCAGCCCCCCAACGACTCCTGCGGTGTTCCTGGAAGGCACTGAGAGGAGAGACCTGTACTTGAGCTCCAGGGACAATGGTTTTAGATCTAAACAAAACTGTAGAGATGGGGGCTTGATATCTATCAGGGGAAATTTTTGCCAAGTCCTGATTTCTTCATATGAACGATCTACAATATAATTCGTAATTTTCAAAATAACAGCATGTGAAGGGTGATAGTCAGAATCTAAGATTAATGTTTACTCCCTTTTCTTTCCTTCATGAAATCAATACCAGTTTCCAGAAGGCCCAAGCTTTGGTGTGCATGTTCAAAAATTCTAGGACATGGCAGAATGTGTACAGTCTATTGTAGAAATATTTTATTTATCAGAACTGTGACCTCTAGCCCAGGTACCACTAACCCACCTATAATATTGACTGCCACTGCCTCACTGCGCTGGGTCTCCAGGTCATTGCTGGCTTCACAGTAGTAGTTCCCAGAATGCTCTGCAGTCAGGCTGAAGGACGCTCCTCCTCCAGAGGGGGCTGAGCTGTTCCCCAGGATGACATCCTCGTAATAGAACCAGTATAGGATAGGGGGAGAGCCTCTCTGGACCTCACAGTGAAGCTCTACCACGTCCCCCACCACAGCCTGGGCACTGGGAGCCCTGATGGTGAGGACTGGGTGAGACACTGGAACTGTAGGGGAAAAAATAGTTCAACAGCATACTTACTTAAATTTGTGTACAAAAGAACTTAATAAAGAAAATATCCAGCATAGTTTAGTAGTAGGAACAGGGATCTGAAATTCAGGAAAACCTGAGCTTGGATCTTGTCTCTTCCCTCATTAGCTCTATGATTGTGATTAAAAAAAAAAAAATTTTAATCTCTCTGAGTCTCAGTTTCTTCCTTTATAAAATGTAACTAATAATAAGTTATATCTCAAACTATTATGATGAATAATGAGAATCATGTATGTAAAGTGCTCGATAAATGTTAGCTATTATTATTGATAGAAATAATAGCTAAACTCAAAGTTCATTTCTAAACATTCCTGACTCCTGAGTCCTAGCTCGAAGACTAAGACTCCCACACCTATCTAAAGCAGGATATCATCACTCTCTACTCAATTACACTGCTTTATTTTTCTACATAGCATTTAGCACTACCTAACATCTTTCCCTAGGTAGGGCAAATAGTTAACATGCTCAACTGCTAACTGAAAGGTTAGAGGTTTGAGTTGACCAGAGATGCCTCAGAAGAAAGGCCTGAGAATCTACTTCTGAAGAAAAAATCATCCATTGAGAACCCTATGCAGCACAGTTCTACTCTGACACACATGGAGTTGCCATGACTCAGAGTCAACTTAATGGCAACTGGTTTTTAGTTAACATCTATCTATCTGTCTGCCTACTTACCTATCTACCTATCTACCTACTGTTGTGTATCTTATTCCCCCACTAGAATTTAAGGTCCATGTCATGGATTGAATTGTGTCCCTCAAAAATACGTGTATCAATTTGGCTAAGCCAAGATTCCCACTATTGTATGATTGTCCACCATTTTGTCATCTGATCTGATATTCCCATGTGTTGTAAATCCTGCCTCTATGATGTTAATGATGGGGGGAAAGGCAGTAGTTATCTTAATGAGGCAAGACTCAATCTATAAGATTGGATTGTGTTTTGAGCCAATTTCTTTTGGGATATAAAAGAGAGAAGTGAGCAGAGAGACAGGGGGACCTCATACCATCAAGAAAGCAGTGTCGTGAGCAGAGCACATCCTTTGGACCCAGAGAAGCTCCTAGTCTAGGGGAAGATTGATGGCATGGACTTCCCTTCAGAGCTGACAGAGTAAGCCTTCCCCTGGAGCTGATGCCCTGAATTTGGATTTCTAGCCTATTAGACTGTGAGAAAATAAGTTTCTCTTTGTTAAAGCCATCTTCTTGTGGTATTTCTGTTATAACAGCATTAGATGACTAAGACAGTCCATATGAACAGAGACTTGTCTGTTTGTTCATTGCTGTATTTCCAGAAGCTGAAACTTTGCCTAGAACATAGTAGATGCTCAGTAATTGACGATTAAATAGATTGCTAAATAGATACAGATTGGTATGAAAAATCCAGATATAGCACTGGCAATAATGATTTCCATTTTAATTTATAATTGTAGAAATACAGCTGGGAAGAACAGAAAACCATTAATGTGGAATATGAACTGTAATATTTCTGGTTCTAAGCTGTGAGGAAACCTGAATGCGCCAATATGCATATTTATGTGCAGTGCTTTGGAAACCCTGGTGGCATAGTGGTTAAGTGCTACAGCTGCTAACCAAAAGTTTAGCAGTTCAAATCCACCAGGCGCTCCTTGGAAACTTTATGGGGAGTTCTACTCAGTCCTATAGGGTCAGAACCGACTCGATGGCAACGGGTTTGGTTTTGGTTTTTGGTGCAGTGCTTTAGATATAAGCTGTGTGCTCCATTGGCAAGAGAAGGTTGGTAAAGATCTTAAGCTGTGTTTTACGTCAGAGACTGACTAAGGCAGAGTGAGTGTGAGTGTAGGGATGGTTTATTGAATGATAATGGTTAAAATTGAAAATTAGCCATCTGCTGGTTAAAAGAAAGATGGCTTCTGCTGCCTTAGCAGGGCAGAAATGCCAAACCCTGGTACTGGAAGTATACTGTTCCTGATAAATCTAAACAGATGATTTACATCTGGCCCTGCTGTACTCCCTCGTAATATAAAGTGACTTGGGCCAGATGCTGAGAGCCTCAGGGGTAAGCATTTATATGGTACTTTGTACATCTTAGAGTGTCTCTCCACTCATGTCGTGGCCTCCTATTTCTCTGGGCTTCTGTATGCTGGGAGCAATGATTCTCAGTTTCTTCCCTCCAGGCATCACAAAACCTCTGGTTTCACATGCACATTTCCCTAAAATCAGAGAATTCTAGGGCTGAAAGAGACCAGGGTTGTCATCAAGTCCAGTGGTTTCTAAGGTGGGGCGGGAGAGAATCCATTGGGGTATGAGAAGAAAATATGACAATCTTTAAAAAGATTTCATTTCTACTTGAAAAGCAAAAAAAGAAATTTGGCTTTACTAATATTCACGTTGGTGCTCTTACTCAGGCCGTAGGTCACACTTTATACCGGGAACAGTAAGGGAGCTGCTGTGAAGGCAGAGGGGTCTCCAGGATATGGAGCGGTTGACGACAGTGCTTTCACTTTTTTGTTCACTCAGAAAATTAGAGCACATTGTCCTTTTAGTTGGTTGTTGTTAGTTGCCACTAAGGTGGCTCAAATTCATGGTGACCTTATGCACAACAGAATGAAATGTTGTCCAGTCCTTCATGATTGCTGGTATGTTTGAGTCATTTTAGAGAATATTTTGTTCTGATCCATAGGGTTCCCACTGGTTAATTTTTGGAAGTAGATTGCCAGGTCTTTCTTCACAGTTCGTCTTAGTCTGGAAGCTCTGCTGAAACCTGTCCATCATTGGTGATCCTGCTAATATTTGAAATGCCAATGGCATAGCTTCCAGTATCATAGCAACACACAAGCCACCACAGTATGACAAACCGGCATAGTTTGACAAAGTGACAAACAGATGGGTGGTGGTTTAGTTGGTTACTTGAATATTTTCCCAAATGATTTTAACCTAAGTAATAATTGTTTTACCATGTTGTGTAATGAGATTGGAGGATGACTATAAAGTCTTTCTGTACTACACAGAAGTTTTTCAATTATTTTGTGGCAAAGTTCTAAAAAGAGCAGTTAAACAAAAGTCGAGCCATGTGTTTTTCTATGAAAAAAGACTAGTATTTCATTTTTGGTGATTTTTTTTGTCATAAGTGACTATCAGTAATATAATACTTAGCAGATTTTTTTTTAAAAGTGACTTTTACCAGTACTTTTATTGTTATGACTTTTCTCAGACACTCATGCTCACTAATGACAGAAGACCAGACAAGTTGTGGAACGACATCAAGGACATCATACATGAAGAAAGCAAGAGGTCATTAAAAAGACAGGAAA